TCCAAAATTCCCCACAGACAAGGCTTTCGTCCTCATTAGATGTTGGCCTCAGCTAACCATCTGGGACTGTTCTATTAAATTGCTGCCAGAATTTTATGTCCAGTTACCTCCACTTTCTAGAACATATTCTCTACTAATGTTAATAAAATCAAGTTTTTACTTCATACAGGTGTTTTTTGCAATGGCAATTAAAGTTTTTCTTCAACATGTTGAGTCCTCAAAAGAAAATGACTCCTGTTATTTGTTTTGTGTATTACTATTTTAATCATTGTTCCCTTACCAAGATGTCACCCTGCCCCTAACTCTCCAGTTAAAGCAATACTTTGTTACACTGTGGACTTAAATAATTTATCCCAGGTTGGGGGCAGGGGTGTCAGTCTTTTAAGGACATAAGAATGTGGCCCCCTTTCTATTGACATGAGCTTGTTTGGAAGATAAATGGCAAGACTAGCTTCTAGAGTACCATACCTTGTTATGTCATGAAATGAGAGGATTTTACCACTAACTCAAAGCAGAGAGATGTAATCATAAGTGTTCTGGACTCAGTAAGTACATTCATCTTAACTTTTACTTTTAGCAGCCATTGCCACCAGTTTCCATTAATGTAAACGTTGGTTCAAAGGAGAATCTGAAGCTTTAAAATTCTGTTAGTTTTATCATGTATGTGAGCTGTTGACTTCACCTGTTCCGGTACGGACTTTCTTTCGCCATGGCATTCACATGATCAAATAAATGACTGCCCAGAATGAGGACTATCCAAGTTGTTCAGATAGCCAGGTAGCAGACCACATGAATGGACGAAACAGCACAATATTTTGAAAATATTTATTGAGAACAGACTAGAAATACAGACTTTGAAGAGTTGGCATCTTGTTTGTGGTATTTTCAAATACTGTGGGAGTTAAGCAACTGAGAAAAGATTAAAGTTGACACTTTTTATTGTCATATTTTCTTAATAGTTTCTGGATTGATAACAGTGATGTTTTGTTCCTTCCGTATTTATAAATGAAACACTTTTTTTAGTGTTTCTAAATGTAGAATCTACTTGGTTGGAAATCAAGTAGTTGGGACACTTTTGTTTTAAGCACTCTATTGATCGACTGTTTCATTGAGGAAGCTTTCAATCAGCTTTATCAGTATGAGTCTGTAATGAGCACAGCACCTAATGTTTTCACTTGCTCAGTTAGGAGGACCAATGTTTAAGCTGGATTTTGTTCTTGAACAGTAACCCAGTAGATCTGATGACATTTTGTTGGCTTGAGGTCTGATTCCCTCCCTCCCTTTAAAACTAAGAATTCTCATGGAATTGGGAGGGCTGGAAAATGTGCACAGATTGTGTGGAAAGCCTAGGAAACAAAGGAAACTGTAGATTGAATAGTATCTATCCTTGTGTGATTTTAGAGGAGGGAAATTTTTGGTGCCGTAAATTCTCTCTTCATTGGTGTTGAACTTTAATCAGTTGAAATGTATTCCTGTACCACAATGTAAGCTTCAATAAAAGTTTGCTTAATTAACTGTCTAGTAACATTCAGAAAGTTTTCTGTTTTATGTCTATTTGACCAAAAATAGAGAAGTAGAAGTTCAAAAGTTTGAAGGTGAAAGGAGGTTACAGCCCTTATAGGTTAGACAGACCATGGGTTAGGAGACCTCACTTCTGGAATTTCCAGCAAGCAGTAGTTTTGTAAGGCTTATCATTTTGCCATGCAGATACATGATGATTTGGGGGATAGAATTTTTTTTTAAGCCAAGACCTTGTGCGTCTTTCTCAAGAGAGGCTTAAAATTAGAAACTATTTTGCAGATTTTCAATTGAAAACTAAAAGCCAGGCTAAAGGATCACTTGATCCCTATAGATGTGAATGTACCGCTTTCTCTGTTAAGAAAGACAGTAATTGTAAAGAAAAGCAAATGCTGCATTTGTGTGTGATCATTTATAGAAGACACATGAATTTCGGTGGTCACTAATGACCAGTCAAGTATGGTAACTTCGATTCAAGGATCCCCCCCTTCTTTTCCTGTCTTAATGCAAAAGGTGTTGCTTGTTCTTTGGATCCCATCCCAACCTACCTTCAGAGACTCCATGAATTGTATATAGTTCAGTTAAATTATAAGTTCTGTGAAAATACTCAGTTGGTTATTCATAAAACAATACCATTTGTTATATTTCTCTGGTTTTCTCCCTTCTAGTTGATCTTTCTTCAGCATCTTTACTAGTTACTTGAATGATGACAAGTTATTGAATTCAAGTTGGGCATAGTAATTCATGCCTGTGATCCTGGTAGTCAGAAGAGTTAGGCAGAATTGCCATGAATTTTGTTTACTGTTCAAAAACACCAAAATGTGCTGCATGTCTGATTCAGATGGCATCAGGAATTTTGAGATGAAGCACTCCAAAATCTGTGAAGGTCAAATAAATGAGGCTGGGTCTTGGTGGCATAAGCCTTTAATCCCAGCACTTCCTCAGCAGAGAGGATGACAAATTTCTAAATTTTAGATCAACCTAGTATACATAGTTCCAGGGCAGCCAAAGCCAAAAGCCACATAATGAGAGTCTGTCTCAAGAGACAGAAAAGTGCAAACCATTTCTAGTGAGACTGTATGAATATGGTGCTAATAACCTGGTAATATGAACAAACAGTGGGCTGGTGAGATAGACCAGGTTGGCCTTGAACTCACAAAGATCCATCTGCCTCTGCCTCATAAGTGCTAGGATTAAAGGAGTGTACCACCACGCCTGGTGGCAATAGGATTTTAAAATAAATAAGCCATAAACTCCATTGGAACTCAGTCTATTAGAAGAAGCAGATATTGACACTTGAAAGAGGCACGTACTATGAAGGTGTGGTCTTGAGCCTTATAGCAAACTGATTTAGAGAAAGGGCAAATTGCTTACTGTAGAAACTGGGTTTTCCTGATATGGGAAGGGAAGTGGGTTAAGCTGTGTTATAGCTAAAGTCTTGCCTAGGGCCTATTGGCTTAAGTGAAGCTCACAGCTGAGTCTTTCTAGAAATGGTTCTCAGCAAATTTCTGTAATCTATTTGATGAAAATTTAAGTTGGAGAGGAGAGTTAAAGTAACTTTAAAAGATTACAGAGGCTGGATGCCAGACCAGTTAGGTGAGATTAGAAAGCATAGGGTGATGGCTGTAAGCTGGGCATGGTGGCACGTGCCTTTTGTCCCAGCACTTGGGAGACAGGCAGCTGAATCTCTGTGAGGCCAGCCTGGTCTACATAGCAAGTTCCAGGCCAGCTGGGGCTACACGGAGACCTTGTCTCAAAACGACCAGATAGATAGATGATAGATAGTAGGTAGATAGATAGATGATTGATAGATTGATAGATAGATAGATAGATAGATAGATAGATAGCTTAGGATAAATATGAGGTAGCAAAGGGTGGCTGTGAGGAAGGAAGATCAGATATTCAGGGCCATTTGGGACTACACAGTGAATCTCTGAACATAGAGCAGGTGGATGTACCAGACCATTTTGATTTCTGCCCAGGGACACAAGACATAACCAATCAGTAAGTACGATACAGCACATGACCTAAGGGTAGGAATCACATGGTCATCTCAATAGATAACAGAAAAGGCCTTTCATCCTAAAACCCTGAAGAAACTAGGGATAGAAAGAACACCTGTAACAACCTGTAGCCCATGTAGTAAAAGGCTGGGTGTGGTAGCAAATGCCTTTAATCCCACCACTCAAGAGGCAGAGGCAGGTGAATCTCTGTGATCAGGACCAGCTGGGGCTATAGGGAGACCTTGTCTCAAAAAGAAAAACTTTGTTTCTGTAGCTAGCATTTAAACATGTTCACAGAAATGTGGGGTGACATAAGTGTGGATGTGTTGCCTTTTTTTAAAATGTGTATGAGTGTTTTGCTTGCATGTAAGTTCACATGCATGTAGTGCCTCGCAGAGGCCAGAAGAGGGTGTTAGATCCCACTGGAACTGGAGTTACGGACAGTTGTGGAGTTATGGACTGTTGGTAGCTGCCATGTGGGTGCTGGGAATTGAACCACGGTCCTGGAAGAACAGCAAATGTTCTTAACAGCTAAGTCACTGCTCTGTGCACCCCCCCACCCCCCTTTAAGGTAGGGTCTCATTATGTAGTTTGGATTTGCTATATAGCCCAGGCTGGCCTTTAATTCACAGTTATTTATACCTGCCTGACTACTGGATTGAAGGTAGATGCTATCACACCCTGCATTTATAAAGATTTTTAATATAATTATGGGGAGGGGGTTTCACTTGAATACAGGGCCTTTGGAGGCCAGAAGAAGGGAGTTGAATCCCCGGGAGCTGTATTACAATGGTTGTGAGTTGCCTGAAGTGGGGTACTGGGAACCCAACTCAGGTCCTGTGCAAGAGCTGTTAACTGCTATGAGCATGCTTTCGCTCTACAGGTACCTGAACTTTTTTTTTTTTTTTTTTTTAAATCATAAGCTGGGTGTGTAGCCCACACTTTTAACCCCAGCACTCTGGAGGCAGCTGACAGATCTCTTGAGTTTGTTTCAGACTAGCCAGGGCTGTACAATGAGACCCCACCTTTAGAAAAACAATCTTGAGAAGTGTTCCTGCTGTGGCGCCCTTTAACCACCCACCATGATCTAGCCTTTGCAGAAAAAGTCTCATGAAATAGTGCCTCATGGCAGCTGAAAGAGGCATTTGCATCTAAACTGAGGATCTGTGCCCTGACCTGAAATTCGGCCTTTGTGCAATGTAAATTGTGTTGCTGTGGCTGCCTTAATTTAAGAAATAGAATATAGACCAAAGTTAAGGCAAGATGGGGGAAAATCAGAGGCAGGCAAGTGGCATTCTAAAATTCTAAAATCAGAGACATGCAAGTAGCATTCTAACATTCAAAACACAAAGCTAGAGCAAGGCACAGTGACCTGAGCCAGGCATAGTGACACCACACCTGTGACTGTAGTACAGGAAGATCTGGAGTAGAGGGCCATCCTTAGCTACATAAGGAGCTCCAGTAGTGAGTTCCACTTAGCCTGGGCTCCATGAAATGTCTCAAAAAAAAAAGAGTTCAGGTCCCAGAATCCACAAACACCAAATAATAAATTACCAGGTGGGAGGAACACGGGACACACATACACAACACAACTGATCCAAGGTGGTGGCACAGTCCTATAATCAGCACCAGGGAGGGTAAGGCAGGAGAATCACAAGTTTGGGGCCAGCCAACTTGAGCTACATTGTAAGACTTTCAAAAGTGTGTTTCAAATGCTTGGAGTAGACATTTCCAACTTACTACACACTGATGTTCTTACAAACTGCAATAAGTCAACTTATTAAAGCAATCTTTAAAAGGGTATCCAAAGCCCCGGGCATGGTGGCACACACCTTGAATCCCAGCACTTGGGAGGCAGAGACAGGCGAATCTCTGAGTTTGAGGCCAGCCTGGTCTACATAGAGAATTCCAGGCCTGCTGGGGCTACAGAAAGATCTTGTCTCAAAAAGAAAAAAATCTAATATATAAACTTACTAGAGGGGAACTAATATATATACATATAGTAATATATGTGTGTATATATATATATATAAATTTTTTTTTTTTGGTCTTTTTTGAAGTGGGGTCTCCCTGTAGACCAAGCTCAAACTCACAGAGATCCTCCTGTCTCGGCTTCCTGAGTGCTGGGATTAAAGACATGTGCCACCATCCCTGGCGGGACCTAATATTTTTAAAGGAACAACATTTTGAAAAGTACTGTTTATTATTCTGTGTCCTTAGGGTCTCATTTAAATTCATCACTTGTCCTTTTAAAATGTAGCAATGGGCAGACCTAGAAACAACAGAAGTCTCTTTCTGCCCCAGTCTTTTGGAAAAGAAATGCCTTCTGGTAGGTAGAAATGACAGTTTGTGTGAGTGTGAGACTTCTTAGTACAAATGGTTGTTATAGAAGAGAAACCATTTTTTAACCTTTTGATCTTAAAACACTTGGGAGTTAAAAACTGAATGTTCAAAATGTAAGTGATATTAAAATTTTAATCTTGCGGCTTGAGAGATGGCTCAGTGATTAAAAGTGAATGTTGCTCTTGCAGAGGACCCAAATTGGGTTCCCAGCACCCATGTCATAGGGCTCACAACCCCATGTAATTATAGCTCCAGGATGTAAGAAACATTAAATATCAGTCGTCTTTGGTCAAACTCCATAAAACTTTTGTTTATGTCAAGGAATGGAAATCTTTTAATTTCCCCCAACCTTGTAAAACTTCTGTTTATGCAAAGGCCCCGGGCTTTCCCAGAGCTTGATGGCCTGGAGTGGCAAACCCTTCCCCCTTTACTTCATTTCCTAAACTAGCCAACTAAGGCTGGGTGTGGTGGTGCACACCTTTAATGCCAGCATGGGGGTGGGGAAAGAGAGGCAGACCTCTGTTGAGTTCAAGGCCAGTCTGGTCTACATAGTGAATTCAAGGCCAACCAGGACTACCTGGTGAGATCCTGTCTCAAAAACAACAGTACTCCTGTGTTAGGATAAAACCCTATCAAATTGTCTGCTCTGTATGTTTGCTTC